GCATGCTTTGTCAACACGTTGTGATTTGTGCACTTGCATGCACAACATGTGGAACAGAAACGCGAGACCTCCAACGTCAGGCTGCGAAGCCAGAGCCATCACAATCCGACTCCAGCGCAAAAGAGGTAGCCTGAGAAGGAAGAGCAACATGCAAGAAAAGCAAAGTGTACTTTGACGGCAAACTGAATCTACACCACACGTGCCACTCGGCTCGAAGTCCGCGCCGGCAGGCGCGACATGGTGCGCGGGTCCCAATAATCTCAGGGGGTCTTTTACCCCCCCCCCGCATACAGATGCATGTTTGGTGGAAAATGATTATCCCCCCACGGCAGCCACCGATGATGATCGGGGAGTGGACGATGACACCTGATGGCGATAATCATGATGAGGGGAAGGAGGAGGAGGGGAAGGAGTTCAATTGCCAGCCGAGAGCTTTGGGGGGAGGGTCCGCGGCAGCATTAAAGACCCTCGGAGATTGATTGGTCAACGCGTCGAATCCTACGGGCTCCACTGTATGGCCCAGGTGTTTCTTCTTGTGAAGGTGCCGCCAAAGAATCGGGTGGGCACTGGCGCTGCATATCCAGAGCACGAGGCTGATTAGCTGGCATACTGTGAATGGCGCTATGCCACGACGCGCCCAAATTGCTCATCCTCCGGTGGTGAACAACCACCATGACTCAGTTCATTCAAACCCAGGCAACCCCTCCACCTCGCTGGAAACGCTAAGGGAATCCTCAGCGCTAGAGTCGCTATAGAGAGGATCAAAACCGTCTGTTCTCCTGAACCTGTCACACCACTCTTCCTTGCAGGTGGAAATGTCACCGACTGAACTATCCAGAATGAACCGCGCAACAAGGCATACCTCGAGCTCGGCGATGAGACTGAAAGTGTCTAGCCGACCTGCCTTTGCCTGGGTAGCGAGACGGCGCATGCGGGCAGTTCCATTGACCACCCCCAGGCAGGCCTTGATGATGCCCTTATGGCCAGCAAGGGAAGCCAGAGTGCAGAGCGAGTCGTAGAAGACAGACGCTGGGATCAAGCATGCTGGGACGTAGGAGGCAGTCCACGACCAAGAGCGAGGAATGAAATTCCACGTGCCGTCGTTCTCGAAGTGGCTCAAGTCTAGGCCCTTTGCCACCGCGAACGCCTGGAGTACCGCCGCTCTGCGGGTGCTGAGCACCACCCGATAAACGAAATATTCGTCTTCGAAACTACCATCCTCATTCCAAGGGCATGCTTCTCGCATCGATTCGTTTACATTTGCTGCTTCTCGGCCAGCCCAAGTACGTGTCGCTCCTATCAAGTCCCTGGCCTCTGTCGAAGTCTGCTCGAAAGCGGCCATGGTATCTGCCTGAAGGGCGGATGCGATAGTCGTGAAGATGATCTTCTCGAAAATCATTAATCCCATGGGCTCCATGCGCAACACCTCTTACTCCGATACATGCAGGGTTCATTCGGCATACGAGCGATTGAGTCACACTGGCTTGAGCCAAACGCGAAGGTGAGAACACCGAATCTAAGCATCGGCTGGAGCTAAAGAGAGAGCAATATTCCCAGTCACAAGTACGACTGGCGCTGAGGATGGAGTAACGTTGCCAGTCAGGAGCGTGACTGGCGCGAACACCATTCCCAGTCAGGGTAAAGCTGCTTCCAAGGAAAGAAAGAACATGAGTCACAATCAGAAGCATGGCCGGCGCCGAGGCAAGATTATCATTGTCTCGTAAGCTCGTCCACTTTGCGCTCTTTGTACCAATTATGGAGCTAGCGGGAAACTCGGATGGCTTCTCCTGAGACCTCGAGGATATCAGAAGACAACATGGGAAATTCTCGGGCTCAAATCACGTGAAAGGAACATCAGGTGCGTGGCCTGGACGAGAAAAGCACATGAACTAGCGAATGGAACAAAAACGAGGCCCGCTCAGGGAACTGATAACACGAGCAAAGACATCTCTTGGGGTGGTACAGTAGGCGCCCGACAACAAGAAACCTTCTATCAGAAACCCAACCCTGAGATCCCAGGACGTCCATTGATTTTGGGTGTGGGAACGCCACACTTTCCATAGCAAAAATGTCGACATCAAGAAGCCCAGAGCACCCTGGAGGCAAGCAGGGTGTTTCTTGGTATGGGTCTCCACTGTAATCCACCTTCGCTGGTTTCACAGAGCATTCGCTGGCTTCCGACGGCGGAACCGCCCTCGCTGCGCTTCCACTGGCCTCCCGGCGAGAGAACAGGGAGGCCCCGGAGGCCCTCCAGGGCGAGGCCCCTTCTTGGGGGGCGCCCGGAGACGCGAGCTGGCCGCCACCTCGCGGTGCACCCTCCCTGTGCAGACGACACCCGTCCACAACCACCACGCCTGGACAAGGTTAGACGTATGATGGCCTTATTTTCCCCTGTAGGCTCCATGGCTGATGACCCCGGGTCAACGGCTACCTCACCGTGCCCGTGAGGTGGACCCCGAGGTCCTGCCTTCCCTGGGATAGGCAGCGCCCGGGGGCAAACTGGCCAGGTCATCCTGTGCCCTGGCAAGGTGCATGCGTCATCCCGACCGAGTCTACGAGGGTCTGCCCTGAGGCCGAAGATGGCCCTGGCCAAACACCATGGTGAATCAGTGCAGTAAGCGGGTTCCATGTGTCCCGGGAGCGTCCACCGCCGTGTTGTATATCAGGCGCGCCCAGGATCGAATCGATAAGTCGGATCTGCGGTGGAAATGAATCGGATCGGGGGAAATCGGCAGCCGAGTCGGGAGAGGTCGAATCGGCGGAAATCGGCAGGCAAGTAGGCCCTCATATTGAGAAATCGAAATCCGAATCGGAAATCCAAATCGAATCAAATCGGAATCGGAAGCCATCGGAATCGAATCGAATCGGAGGAATCGAAATTGACTATGGTGTATCCAATGGGTGGGATGTCCTCATGCCCCCTCGAGCTCTTCGAAATCACAGTTGCAAACTGTTGAGAGAAGGCCCTTGACCAGCGGTCTCCGGAACTCCTGCGCGCTCCTGGGGCGCACCCGTGGCCCGGGCCGTCACTCTCCGTAGGCCTCTGGAGCGCAGCTCGGAGGTGGGGGCCAGCGCCCTGCTGCAGCTGGCGAGGGTGCTGGGGGCGCCCTTGCCCGGCCTCTCTCCCGCGGGCGTGGTGGACTTCGCCTGGGCGGAGGAGAGCCTGCGCGAACTGGAGGATGGAGATCTCCCTCGCTTCGAGGGCAGGTCCACGGTCAACCTCACCCGAATGGAAGGCGATGCTCGCTTGGGCCAAGTCGCAGAAGGCCCCGCTTTCCATAGATATTGATGATATGGATGATCTCAGCGATGCTGACACCAGGGACTTAGGTGAGCTACGCGGGCTCCGCGAGCGCGCTGCTGCTCATGGATTGGGACCCGAGGAGTCCACCAAGCACGGCGACCTCCTCTAGAAGACTGCGGAGGCCCGCGTGGGTAAGCGCACCCGCAAGGCCCTGCAGCAGCACGTCTCTGCTACATTTGTTTCCCTCCACCCATTTCAAAGCAGCGGCCGCCCAGCGTTCCGAAATCGCGGTCGCTGGAGGCGAGCCGGGACAGCGCGTTCAACCCTCGAGCGCCCGCTGAAAGAAAGCGGGCTCGGGGGGAGAGAAGATTCAGGTGCGTTTTGCCCGCGTGATTTGCCGGTCTTCTCGCGCCGAGGCGCGCGCGGCGAACGTTGTCTCCGATGTGGGCGCACAATTGTGGGGTAGGTCTCGGGGACGGCGTTGATTTCACGTCTTTTGTCGCCGTCTCCACCGTCAGCATCTCGCGGATGGATCGCGCCAGGACGCAGCGTTGCTTGCATACATCGCGACACGTCTTTGCTGGCCCGACGCGCGGCTTCGGCAAGCTGGCGATTCGACTTCTGGAATCTGCTCTAGGTGTAGGGCCGCGCAAGAGACCATGATGCACCGTGTGTGGCTTTGCCAACGCAACGTCGAGATTAACTCGGGTGGCATTGTAAACTCGGCGCTTCTGGCCCCTGATGCGCAAGAAACTGCTCGCACTTGTCCAAAGAGAGCATTCTGGAACCGTGCTCTTCCTGCCTTGGCTGCCGCAGTACGCCATGCCCCTCCGCCATGTACCCTGGCGTTCGGGCGGGGCCTCTAGGAGCAAGGCCCAAGTCTCTGGAGGGACCTGGGGGTTGGACGGCTCTGGGGGCAAGTGTGCCAAGGATTGATGGCTTCGGAGGTGTGGTTGGGTCATTGTTCGTCAAGATCGCGATTTTGCATTTGGCGGGGTGCTCTGCGGGGCCCTCCCGACTCCTGAACAATCCAGTCCGCGTGCCGAACTGCATGCATGCTTGCAGCTCCTGTCATGTACTACAAGTGACATCGTGGTCCATTCGGACCTCCCCCTGGTCAGGGCACTCAGACGCTCACGTGAGCATGTTTCCCGCGCGTCTTCCATGGTTGATTTGTGGTGTAGCATATGGGATGCCCTGGATCATCGTTCTGGTAATGTTGAACTGGCGTGGACGAAGACGCAGGCATCCACGCTACGTGAGGCCTGGGATTTGAGTGAGAGCGAGCACTGTTTGAAAGCTTGAGCCAACTTGTTTGCTGGAGTGGCGGCTGTCAAAAGGGAGGTCGCGATTGTGACTGATGTTGTTTTGTTACCTTCCCAAGTTTTGCACCGTTTGCGTGGCATCAATCGGGAGGTTAGCCTCACCTGTGCCCGCAACAAGGCCGATCGCGTCGGTAAGGAGCCCCCCTCGGCCGAGAGCGTCGCCCACAAACGTTGTGCGGCGCCAGCGTCTTCGCAAAGCTGGCCACGCGCTGGAGCCTGTGTTCAGAAGCCTGTTGCGGTGCCAGGTGTCGACGGACAGGTAAGTCCTTGCTTGGCCGTGTCTCTGAGTTTGGACCTGGGAAATGTACGAGAGGGCCGCTTCTGCGTGATGGCCCTGATGTGGTCCTCGCCCCCCCTGTTATCCGAGGGTGCACAGCAGTCATCAGCTTGACCGCTTTCGCTGAGTTTTGTTTTGCAAGGTGATTGGTCAGCACTTCGTCGACAAAATTCAGGCCTTGGCCGACCTATGCCCTCCTGCGGGCGCCACACTTGCTGGCCGTGGTGTTTTTTTCTCGCCTGGCGAGTGGACTCCCATCCAAGAGTGGGCAGCGTTGCCCGCCTGAGCACTGATGTTGACTGACGTGGGTCCCCGTTTGTCGGAGGTCAAGGAGAGCCGAAGGCGGCCCATGATGCTTCCAAAATGGTCCCAAGAGACCCCATAAGGGCCCCATTAAGGTTCAAAATGACCTCCTAGACGGCGAAAACAACCTCCAAGTCGGTCAACGTTACCATATACGGCCTCCAAGATGGTCCAACATGCCCTCCAAGATGGCCAAGATCCGAAGATGGCCCAAAGACGACTCCAAAACTGCCCCAGATGGCCCCAAGAGGCCCCTAAGAGGCTGTCAAGAGGCCACCGCCTCGTCCGCCTCCTCCTCACCATCATCCCTCTTGGGCTCCTTCCCCTCTTCCTCCAGCAAGTGACCCCCCACCCCCCCAGGGGTTCCCACAGCAGCTGGGGGACCACACAGTCCAATAGCTTGGCCAGGCCTCGGCCTGTACACGTCTTCCACACAGAGTCCCTCGGACCACGTGGCCCAAGAGGCGCAACTGCGGCAGCCGGCTGGCACTGCGGGGGATGCCCGACAGGGCGCTCGAGGAGGAAACGCGAGCTACTGCTCCCGATGTGATGGGGGCCCAAACGCACTTGCCTTTCCCTGGGCGCGCGTGGATGCACGCTGGAGCTGTGCCCCCCGGGCCCTCCGAGAGGCCCAGGAGCCTCGGGGCTCGCGCACCCGCTGCTTCCCCCCACCCGGCCCTCCTCCGGCCACGAGCGGGCCGCCACGCACTCTCGAGCATGAGGAGGGGGCGCCCGTCGCGCGCCCGAGGCGGGCGGCGGCCGCGGGCAGCCTGGCTCCTCGGGCAGGCGCACGAAGCCGTCCTCCAGGCTCTGCAGCGCCGCCGGGTTTCTCAGCCGCTCCGGCGTCTCCAGCTCGGCGCCCTGTGGGCGGCACGGCGGGCGCACCCGAGGAAGGCCGCCCGCCCCCCCGGGTGCGGGCGACGAGTCGAGGGCAGTGGCTGTGTGGAGGCACAGGAGGACTGGCAGGGAGAGGACCCCTAGACCTCTGGGAGAGGGCCGAAGTATCAGGAGGGCCAGAAACATTCGAGATAGAGGGGGCCTTTTTTTTCTGCAGATGTACCGAACCCAACCGCCCAGAGCTATTATCCCTAAATGCAAAGACGGGGACCTCAGGGAGGCCACGTCTTCATCGTGTTGTTAGGGTTAGGGGTGCTTTCATCCTCGATGGCACCGGGACCTCGGTGAGGCCACGTCTTCATCGTGTTGTTAGGGTTAGGGGTTGTTTTATCCTCGATGGCACGAGGACTGGTGGAACGGAGGGAGGTGAAGGAGCCGAAGATGGCTCCACGAGGGCCCCCGATGTTCCAAGGTGGCCCCACACATGGCTCAAGATAGCTGAAGGTGGTTCGAGATGGCTTCCGACATGTCTCCAAGGGGCCCCCAAAATACCACAAGACGGCTCCAGGTGCGCTCGGAGCCCACGCAGGACTTCCCCAAGAGGCCAGAATCCTTCACACGCCTAAGAAAAATCAAGAAACAATTTGAGCCTTCTCGCGGCGAGAAGGCTCAAATCATTGATTTCCCCTAGACGTTGGAAGCATTCTGGCCTCTTGGGGAAGCCCCGAAGGGGCCCTGCGCGCACTTTGAAGCGAGAAGGCGAGAATCTCTCCTTTTCGCTTCCGATGCGGCTCTTGAGGCCTCAAGATGGCCCCACTCTGGCCTAACCGAGCCCCGAGAAATGCCCCTGACAGGCCCCCCGAGACGGGATGGGAGGCCAGGGCTGGTGTGTGTGTGTGTGCAGCTGTTAAACTGTTTTGGTCTTAGGGTGGGTGGGGGGCTGAGCGGGATGGCAGGGAGGTGAGAGGCCTGAAAGGAGAGGGCTTGAGAAGGGAGAGGGGGACACGCAGGTTGGCGCGGACTGCGAGGAGGGGATCGGATGCATAATGCCCGTGCCCCCAAATTCGTTGTCTCGTCGAATCCGTGAGAGGTGCTTCGACTGTTGAGTAGATCGGCGAACATCTCACGTGCACGTCGTTCATTTCTAACCGTGCTCATTTCTCATTGTGTTCGCTTCTAATTGTTCCTGGCTCCCTAGTGGCCAGGAAGAGGCCCAGGACAGCAGAATTAGAAGTGAAAGGAGCCGGGCCCCCAAAGAAAACAAAGAACTCTCGAAGAATTGGAAATGAGCAGTGGGTACAGCAACTCTGTGGTCGATCCCCTGCTCGGGGATCGGCGGCGCGTGCGAGGGCATGGGGAGCGATGGGGGCGGACTTCTCTCGGAAGGCGTGGGGGCCTCTTACAGGGGCTCGGCAGTTTCTGGGGTGCCATCTCAAGTCGCAGGAGGGCGCCTGAGAATCGCCACCTGTCAGGAGGCAACTGCTGGGAGGCTTTCGTCGGAAGGATTATGGAGGATTAAGCCCCAATTGGGGGGCTGTTACGCCAGAATGGGCCTTGGATCAAGCGGTTTTAAGCCGGTTCAAGCGGGATTAAGCGGGATCAAGCCGGATTAAGCGGGATTCAGCGAGAGCAAGCCGGATTAAGCGGGACTTCGGACCAGGGCTAAATCAGAATTTGACCTCCCAGGAGTTGCATCCGAATACCTGCACCTTTAGGAGGGTCGCCAGACGCGGAGGAGCAGCCGCAGCAGAGAGTGGAGCGGGAGGACGATGCGAACGACGACGCCGGCCTGTGCCCGTGGCCTCTGGGCGCGCGGACTCCTGCCGCCCTGGCTGCCGAGAGCCACTCCGTCCGACAGAGCCAGCGGCTCCCTCGAAGGAGGCCTCCCCACTTGGGTTAGGTCGGGCGTGTCCCCCCACAGGCGGGTCTTCGACGAAAAATCAAACATAGTCAAGAATTACCCCAGAATGGTCAAAAATAGTGGAAAAGGAGTCCCCGGACTATTTTTGGACTATTTGGGGTGATTCCTCCTGTAGAGGGACAGGCCCGACTTCACACTTGGGTCCGAGTAGATGGGGTCGGAGGCTCGCGCCGCATCCGCGATGCATCGGCGACGCCGGCGGCGCATCGTCGCCGTCGGCGTGAAGAACATAGGTCTCCACAGCGAGCCGCACAGCCGGTGCCTCCGCGATGCGGCGCAAGCCTCCGACCCCGCTCACTCGGATCCCATTTCGGAGGCCTGGCCTGTAATGCTGCGACTCTCGTTCCCTGTGTCCGTGCTGCTTCTGAGGGAGCGGCCTCCAGGGATGGTCAGACTTCACGACGTGCCTTGTCATACGGCCAGAAGATCAGAGGCGCGGCGGCTGGCCCGTGCCTCGGCTGATCCGTGGGCAATACTGTTGCGTTGGGTGGCGGCCGTCAGCGCTCCCGGGAAGAGGTCAACCTGCTCCTCGATTGCCCCAGCTTGTTGTACGTTCGTGGACTTTTGCGTTGCGTGTCGCGGCGGCGGCCCCGCCGACACGCCATGCTCCGGAGACTGATAGCTTGTCGTTCCGCTCCGCGGGGCGGGAGGTTGGGAAAAGGATAAGGACGATGACGCTTGGGGGCTGTGACGTGGTCAACGTGTCGCGCCGAAGCGTGGTGGGCCAGAACCAGCGCCGCGACACGCTAAGCAAAGGCTCGTGACCGTGCAGGAACACTAACTGATGTGCTCCACACGTCCTTCAACAGAGAAAAAAAACCATGAGAGATATACAACAACGATCGAGTTCCAATGTCCGATGTGCATACATAGCAAAATCACATTATGAGCCTAACTTACGCTTGCATCTAAAACCCCTATCAGCCCTTTCGGGCGTGAGTGGTTTAGCGAGCTTCCACTTCCAACCCCTTCTCCCCCTTCGGGGTTGGGGTTATCCCCCCCCCTCCCCCCCCCCCCCCTGGACCTCGACGTGGGGGTCGCGACCCATTGTGGCGTTCAAGATGGCCTCGGCGAGAAGGCGCAGATCATTGACCTTACTTTCGTTAGGGGCCAACTTTGGCCCCTGGGGGGGGGGGGGGGCGGACTCTAATGTAGCACCCCCCCGCTACTTGATCGATCTCCTCCAAAATGGCCCCCGAGGCACCCAAGAGTGCCACAAGAGGCTCCCAAGAGACGGCCAAAAGGTCCCAAGAGGTTCCCCCGAGGCACGTAAGACGCTCTAGGAGGCCCCTGGACCGCCAAGAGGGCCAAGAGACGCTCCAAGAAGACTCCAAGACGCTTCCAAGAAACGTCCGAAGAGACTCCGAGGGGCATCAAAGCAACCTCTGATTATTCTGCTCATCCTTCTCCTCCTCCTCCTCCTCCTCCGCCTGCTGCTCCTGCTCCCTCCTCCCTTTCCCCCTCCTCCTCCTCCCCCCCCTTCCTCCTCTTCATCCTCCAATTCCTCATCCGTCCTCCCCCTCTTGGGGTATGACGCCTTCCCCAGCGTCATTCCACTGCATGCTCCTCCACATCCCTGATCAGGGCAACTCGCCTAGTTTCTGGATGGGCTAGTGGGGCTACGTACGCGAAGCTTTTAGACTATATGAGTATCGAATGTTGATCCTGTGTGCTTCTCACAGGAGGCGTAACGAGGAGACTGCTGCACAAAACGAATGCTTTAGACGCACTCTCTGCCAAGTGGTGCTCGCGACTGTCTGTCAGGCCGCAAGGCACCTAGCATGCTATTTCCATACCCATATGGGGAGCTTCACGCGTGCTTGGTACGACTGCGCTGCCGACAACGAGAACTCGCATCCGGCTCGTACCTGGCTTGATCGCAGATTCCTCCCGATCATCCCCTGACGCCCCCCTCACTACACGTCTCTCAAGCAGCGCCCCTGGCGCATCAAGAGCGCACCGTCAACAAACACCTTCGACATAATGCGACGGCACGCTTGCTTCCATGAGTGCTACATCGTTGCGAGATGCTCCCCAGACGAGAACAGAGCACACATGCTTTTAGCCAGAGTGCGGGCAGCCCAGCACATCGTAGTGTTTTCCACCCGTTGCTTCCACCGCCTCTTCCTCTTCCCCCTTTTCTCCTCTCCTCTGCTCCTCGCCCTCATCCTTCCCTCCTCACCAAGGCTCCTCCTCCTCCTCCTCCTCCTCCTCCTCCTCATAATCCTCGTCCTGACTTCTTCCTTCTCCTCCTCCTCCTCCTCCTGCTCCTCCTGCTCCTCCTGCTCTTACTGACATCTTCCGATGCTCATCGTCTTCATCTACCTATGGGAAGCTATTTTATCTACAGTTCATCAATGAGCATACTATGGGTGCACCTGCTCGCGAGGGCAACTTCTCATCTGGAGCAGTGGCCGTTCAACACAAGCGTTACACCAGTCCTGTGATGAAAACGCGCAGTGGATCGCGCGAACTAGGACGGCGCGGAACCGAGGATGACAGCGTGACTAGGAGGGGTCTGACCTGCTGCTACTTCCTATGGCCAAAAACCCAACACATCTTCGAGAGACACTCCGACAGTTCGCCGGAGGATCGCAAAACGCTGGCGCCGATGGATCGCAACGCGTCGCTGTCGAGGCCAGGGTGCAGAAACTTCCAGGGGTACGCACGGACGAGGGCTGAGGACCAGGGGTGTGTGTCTGTGTGGATAGCGGGGAAAAGCGAACACGCACATGCATAAACATAAGCATAACCGCATAAACATATACAACAAACAAGAAGCATACACGCATAAGCATAAACGCATCAACAAAAGCAGTAACGCAACAGCAAAAACGCATATAAACACCAACTTTCGGAGGTTCGCGCGGATTTCTCGGATCGGCGCTGGACCCTCGTGGCGGCTCTGGCGCCGCCCCTGGCAAGCTCCGCGCTCCAGGGAGGGGGGCCCAGCGGCGAAACCAGAAACCCACGTGGACTATCGACGGTGTATATATATATATATATATATATGTATATATATATACACATATGTATGTGTGTGTGTGTCGTTTTCTTCTTATTCGACCATCTGGGCGACCTGGACGTCCGACCCCTTCAGAGGGTCCCCCTCTCGAGTCGGCCGAAAATGGGGGGGGGTGTAAAAAGTGGGCTAGCGAATTAGCTCACTTACGTAACCGATTTTCCCAGCGTCTCCCGGCGCCGGGGAGTCGATGATGCATCGAGGAAAGTGTCCAGCGGCGGAGGCGAAACCAGCTGCGTGCAACAGATGTCGTCCGACCCGATCCGCAGTCTGCGCGGCAGACTGGGAAAAGTCGAGGCGCTGATGCATGGGATCGCGACGTGGCTAACCAATCGCAGCCGAAATGTGGTGGAGCAGCAGACGTGGCGGAGGGACACGCTGACTCACGCTAAGCCGCTAAGCAAGCGTTCCTGACCGCATGTCGTTTCATCTTCTGGGGGGGGGGTCCGGACATACCCACACCGCCTCTCCACTGACATCTCCCGAGGTGACTTCGGGGCGACTCTGGCCGTGGCGACGAGAGAAAGGTAGCGTCGCAGGCATCTTTTCCTCCTCGGATGCTTTCCTTCGACCGCTCTCTTGAGCGACCTAGACTCCCGACCTCTGCAAGAAGCCCCCCCCTTCCACCTCGTCGCTCGCGTCCTCGGCCTCCCCGTCCTCTTGGGGTTCCACAGCCGCCTGCGACCGGAAGCGCGCCGGGCGGGCGACGGGGGGGCATGCCGGCTGTGCCGACGGCGCCTGTGATGTACGGCGGGCACCGGCCTCGCAAGCAGGATCTTGCCCCGGAAGCCCCCACAACCGAACGCAACACGAGTGTGCGCTGGGTGACGCGAGTACCACTTCCGCGACCGGCCACGCTGAAACGTGAATCCGACATCGCGGCGACGGTGGCCTCGTCGCGCTGTCCGACGCTAGCAGCCAGGGCCTCCATCCCAGTTGTCAAGACGAGGTCTCGGCTCGCAGACGAGGAAGCGGGGCCAGGAGGGCCGCGCAATCCTGTGGATACGCGGTCGCATGGACACTTGCCGCGCGGGTCATCCGCGAACACACACCCCGTATCCGCGGGGTCGCGTCCCACAGGCCCAGCGCGAGAGGCCGTGGATGTGGATATGCTTCCTGGCCACGAACTTGAACGCGGGAAAGTGCGCAATTGGTCGCGCAAGACACTTCTTGTCCGCAGGTCTGGCGAGCGCGTGGGCTGGTCGAGCACCAAGGGCGCTGAGCATCTCATCGGGCCCATCAAGAGGCGGGCAACGGGCCCATCAAGAGGCGGGCAAAAACTGAGCGGAACGGCCGCGGGGGGAGAGAAAAAACTAATGGGGCGGACTCAGGCCATGCAGGTTTTCGTCAGCGTTAGGTCGGGCGTGTCCTCCTACAGGGGGATTTTGCACGAACCATAAAAAATAGTCAAAACATATCCCCTAAATTGTCAAACACAGTCGAAAAATCCTCTCCCTGCTATCTTTTTCTTACTATTTTTGAATTTCCCCCCTGTAAAGGGACAGGCCCGACTTAACCTCAGCGGGCTGCGATCCCCAGGCGCCACGGACTCTCGCAGGCCCGGGGCAAGATCGCCCAAGGAAGAGGTGCGACAGGTCGGCAAGCTGAGCGAAGGCACCCGGGCCCACGGGAGCGTCCGAGAGGGCGCCGAAGGCTGAAGGGGCCCCAGGACACACAAATATAAATACGCACAAATAAAACAATGCCCCCTATCTTTTGGTTTTTTGTCTTCTTCCCGCCCACTTCCCATATTTTCCCATCTTTTTTCCTGGGGGATCGACGATGGAAATTGTGTCTGTGTGTTTTTTCCCCTCCCGAGAGGCGCACCCGCACTGCCCCCGGAGCGGGGAAGGGCGCGGCCACGGCCGGGAGAGCGCCGGGGGGCAGGTCCGCCGGCAGGCGCGCAGGGCCCCTCTGGGGGAAACGAGACCGGGGGCGGAGCGCGTCACACACGACGGGGCTGCAAGGCAGCCCCGGCCAATCTCGCTGGTGGGTCGCACAACACATCATCATCATCAGCATGATCATCATCAGCATGATCATCATCATGATCATGATCATGATCATGATCATGATCATCATCATCATCATCATCATCATCAGCATCATCAGCATCATCATCAGCATCATCATCATCATCATCAGCATCATCATCATCATCATCATCATCATCATCATCATCATCATCATCATCATCATCATCATCGTCACCATCATCAGCATCATCATCATCATCATCATCATCATCAGCGGCCCTTCAGGAGTGCTGAAGGAATCCTCAAATAATCCTTCAGGAATGCTGAAGAATCCTTCAGGCATCCTTCAAGAATCCTTCAGGAATCCTTTAGGGCTCCCTCAGGAATCTTTCAGGAGTCCTCCAGGAATCTCCTTCAGAATCCTTCAGAGATTCTTCAGGAATGCTTGAGAACTCCTTCTGGAATCCACCAAACATTCTTCAGGAATCATGCAAGATTCCTTCATGAATCTCCCGACAATCCTTCCCGACTCCTCACAGAATCCTTCAAGAATCCATCAGGAATCCTTCAGGGATACTTCAGGGACCCTCCAAGGACCCTTCAGGAATCCTTCAAGAATCCTTCAGGGATCCTTCAGGAATCCTGGAGGAATCCTCCGGAAGTCCTGTAGGAATTCTGCAGGGATCCTTCAAGAATCCTACAGGAATCCTTTAGGAATCCTTCAGGAATCCTTCAGGATAGAATCTTTCAGGAATCCTCCAAGACTCCTTCAAAAATCCGCAAGATATCCTTCAAGAAGCCTCCAAGAATCCTTCCGGAATCCTTCTGGAATCCTCGAAGACTCTTTCAGGGATCATTCAGGAATCCTTCAGGTATCCTGCAAGGATCCTTCAGGAATCCTTCATGACTCAGAGAGGGTCCGCAGGAATCCGCAAGAATCCTTAAGCCCAGGGAAGCTGAAGCAAGCTTTCTTGGTTGGAATCATGCGTTCGCCTTGCAGCATTACAATAAGAATCCTTCACGTTGCGATCAGTCAATTCCCAGTTGTTGTAATCCAAGGTGGTTCATGGACGGTCCGATGGGGTTGCGATCGGTTTAATTAATTATCCTCCTCCTCCTCCCTTTCCTCCCTCCGCCTCCAACGCCTCCTCCTCCTCCTCTTCCTCATCCTCCACGTCCCCCTTGTTCCCGACCCCTTTCCTCTGGTGCAATTCTTCGCGCCGGACCTGTCTTTGGTGTGACAAGGGCCCAGGGCCCGACCGCCTTCGGATTGGGGCCCGAAGACGGGCCCTGCATGGGTGCCGAGATCGAGGAACACAACTCCTAGACTGGACGGCAAAAAACAACAGCAACAACAACAGCAACAGCAACAGCAACAGCAACAACAACAACAGCAGCAGCAACAACAACATCAATAACAGCAACAACAGCAACAACAACAGCAGCAGCAGCAGCAACAGCAACAACAGCAACAACAACAACAACAGTCCTTCGGAGGTCTGGGAGCCTTGATCGGCAGCCCGCCCTGACGAGCACGGCGGGCACTCCTGTGTCGGAGGGATGTTTAAGGGTGGGGTTGGAGGAGCATTGCTCCAAACGGCCCCTAGAATTAGGTCGGCCGTGTCCTCTTTCATGCTGACGTTGGCGGAAAAATTAAAATAGCCAAACAAAGTATCAAACATTGCAGAAAATAATAAGACAATCATTCTTTTTTAAAAACCAATTTCGAATACTCCTCCTGTGAGGAACGGCGAACGGCGCCCTTCGATTAAGTCGGGCGTGTCCCTCTACAAGGGGAACAATCAAAAACAGTTTAAACAAATAACAATCAAGAATTTGTTGAATCTTGTTTTGGTACGAATAATTTGTCTTCCAAAATCGGCCTTTCGGGGGCCATGCCCGACCTAACCCTTGGAAGAAGGAAAAACTGCATAAACGTAAACTTTTGGCGCTCCGCGCGGATTTCTTGGATCTGCGCTGGACCCCCCTCCCTGGCGCGCTGCGCGCGCCAGGGGCAGCGCCAGAGGCTCCGCCAGCGGGGCCCAGCGCGGATCCAAGAAACCCGCGCGGAGCGCCACAAGCTTATGTGTTCATGGCATGCCTTCTTCTCCGAAGGATCTCGAGGAACGGCGAACACGCCAGGGGCAGCGCCGGAGGCGCCGCCAGCGGGGCCCAGCGCGGATCCAAGAGATCCGCGCGAAGCGCCACAAGCTTATGCTCAGGGTGTATTTCTTCCCTCTCCGGAGGATCTCGAGGAGTGGCGAACGGCGCCCCTGCGCGCGCGCGAGCGGCCCGACCCGAGAGCGCGGCGGCGCGGCCGCGCAGCGGGCGGCGCCTGGGGAGAGCCCCGGGCCGTGGCGGGCGTGTCCTGCCCCGCGGCCGACGGGGCGCGGCAGAAGCCCTCCTCGCACGGGCCGCGGCGGGGGCGGAGGCGTCTCGCGGGGGGGGGGGGAGGGTCGACCCCCCGTCTCGGGAGGCAGCTGCTGGGAGGTCTTCGTCGGAAGGGCAAGGAGGATCAAGCCCCACTGGGGGCTGTTGCGCCGGATGTGGCCGCGGACGAAGCGGGAATTGAGCCGGATGGAGCGGGATCCAGCCGGGGCAAGCGGGATTCAGCCAGATAGAGCGAGATTTCGGACCAAGGCAAAGTCAGAATTTGACCTCCCGGGAGTTGCATCCGAACCTGTCCAAACAAAACATGCCTGCCCATCTGTTCGCCATCGATTGACAACTCTCTGCTCCCCAAGCAGTGCTTGCTCTTGAGGGCCCTTCCTTTTTTGAAGCGAGCGAGAGAGAGAGAGAGAGAGAGAAAGGGAGGGAGAGCAGAGGGGAGAACGCGAACCAACCATGAAGGCCGCGCCATTCGTCTCACATGCACTCGAAGGTTATTACTTGTTGCCCCCAAGAAGAACTAGGCTCCTGTGCCGGGTATTCCGCTTTGTTGTCGCCGTCGCCACCCCGTCGCCGCCTCGTCGCCGCGGCCCCGTTGCATCCCCCCGTTGCAGTCGGTTTACTTTGCATTACTTTGCTTTGAGTTGCGTGGTATTGCGTTGCTTTGCTTTGCATTGCATTGCCTCGTATTGATTTGCATTGGTGAGCATTGCTTTGTATAGCTGTGCACCACATAGACGACACCACATAACTACATTGCACTACATATACTGCACCACGAACATTGCATCACATCGTCTGCACCATGTCGATTGCACAACGTGGATTGTGCCACATGTATTGCCACACGCAGTTTGCACCACGCAGATTGCAACACGCAGATTGCACCGCGTAGATTGCGCCATGTAGACTGCAACACATTGATTGCACCACGTAGATTCTCCTTTCTAAACTCTACCCCCCCCCCCGGACTTAACGCTTCCCCCTGGGACAATACAATTTCACATATATATATATATAGATATAGATTCTGCACACTCGTGCATCCTAGATATGAAATCATACCATCCCAGGCGGGCCGGTTTCCCCCCCTGAGGGTCCCTTGTAAAAAAATATATGCGGTGACATTTTTTGTTTTAACATAACACTTGTTCGCGAATCCCTTGCGCAAGTGAGACGAAGTGCACACGCGCGCGTCGTCGCGCGCGCATGCCGAAATCCTTCAAAAACCTTCGGTGCCGGAAGGAGTTCGCAATCGAGTTTCCAAAAAAACACACACACAAAAAACACATGGTTTCGCAACACTGATTTGCTAAAAAACTTCCGCGCGAGCTCTTGCGAAATCTTAAGCAAACCATCGGTTTTCTTTGAAGATTTTCCCAAAATGCTACCACACGGGCTTCGCGCGCGCGCATGTCGAAATCTGTCGAACGCCCTTGCGCATGTGCGGCGAGAATCCTCTGCAAATAACGGGACGAAGTGCAGACGCGCGTGTGGTCGCGCGCGTACGCCGATATCCTTCAAAACCCTTCGGTTTCGGAAGGATTTCGGAATCGCGCGTGCAAAAAACCTACCAAAACCCAAGGTTTCGCAACACGGATTTTCAACAAAAGCGTGCGCGCGCGCTCTTGCGTCGTCGTCGTCGTCGTCGTCGTCGCCGTCCTCCCTCCTCCCGCGTCGTTGTCGTCGTCGTCGTCGCCTACGTCGTCCTCTGTCTTGCCTCGTGTTCGTCGTCGTCGTCCTCTTTGGCGTCGTGGTCGTTTCCGTCGTCGTTGTCGCCGTGGTCGTCCTTCCTCCTCCTCCCTCGTCGTCGTCGTCGTCCGTCGTCGGCGTCTCGTCGTCGTCCCTCCTATTTCGTCGCCGTCGTCGTCGTCGTCGTCGTTGTCGTCGTCGTCGTCTTCCCTCCTCCCTCGTCGTTGTCGTCGTCGGCGTCGCCGTCCATCCTCCTTCTTCGTCGTTCGCGTCGTCGCCGTCCTCCCTCCTCCCTCGTCGTTGTCGTCGTTGTCGCCGTTGTCGCCGTCGTCGTCCTCCCTCCTCCCTCGTCGTTGTCTTCGTTGGCGACGTCGTCGTCGTCTCGTCGTCGTCGGCGTCGGCGTCGTCGTCGTCTTCGTCGTCGTTGTCGGCGTCGTCGTCGTCGCCGCCGCCGTCGTCGTCGTCGTCGTCGTCGTCGTCGTCGTCGTCGTCGTCGTCGTCGTCGTCTTCGTCGTCGTCGTCGGCGTCGTCGTTTCGTCGTCGTCGGCGTCGTCATCGTCGTCGTCGTTGTCGTCGTCGTCGTCGTCGGCGTCGGCGTCGTCGTCGTCGTCGTCGTCGTCGTCGTCGTCGTCGTTGCCGGCGTCGTCGAAGTCGTTGGAGACGTCGTCGGTGTCGTCGTAGTCGTTGTCGGCGGCGTCGTCGTCGTCGTTGTCGCTGTCGTCGTCGGCGTCGCTGTCGTTGGCAAGTGCCATTTGGTACCCACAGTCACGGTCTTAAGAGAGTTTGCGAACCAAGTTGCGGGTGGGTGGGTGGGATGTTTGCGCGGGCAGTGGAGTGGTCAAGCGCGGTGCAGGGTAGTCAATTGCACCACACAGATCACATGACATACATTGCACCACATATATTGATTGCACCATGTATACTGCACCACATAGGTTGCACAACATCTATTGCACCACGTATACTGCACAACGTAGATTCTCCTTTCTGAAAAGGACTCTACCCCCCCCGGAGTTAACGCTTCCCCCTGGGATAATATAATTTCATATATACATATATATATATATATATATATATATATTCTGCACACTCGTCCATCCATCCCAGGCAGGCCGGTTCCCCCCCCTGAGAGTTCCTTGTAAAGAACACTACGCGGTGACATGTTTTGCTCAAACATAGCATTTGTTTCACGAATCCCTTGCAAAAAAATTGGGCGAAGTGCGCACGCGCGCGTAGTCGCGCGCGCATGCCGAAATCCTTCAAAAACCTTCGGTGCCGGAAGGATTTCGCAATCGAGTTTCCAAAGCACATACAAAAACACATGGTTTCGCAACACTGATGTGCTAAAAAAGCTTCCGCGCGAGCTCTTGCGAAATCTTAAGCAAACCGTCGGCTTTCTTTGCAGATTTTCCCAAAATGCTACCAAACGGGCTTCGCGCGCGCGCATGTTGAAATCTGTCGAACGCCCTTGCGCGTGTGCCGTCGCGAGAATCCTCTGCAAAAAAAACGAAGTGCAGACGCGCGCGTCGTCGCGGGCGTATGCCGAAATCCTTCAAACACCCTTGTTTTCGGAAGGATTCCGAAATCGTGCGTCAAAAAACGTACAAAAACACAAGGTTTCGCAACACGGGTTTTCAACAAAAGTGTGCGCGCGCGCTCTTGCGTCGTCGTCGTCGTCGCCCTCCCTCCTCCCTCGTCGTCGTCGTCGTCGCCGTCGTCGTCTTCTGTCTTTCCTCGTCGTCGTTGTCGTCGTCTTGGCGTCGTCGTCGCTTCCGTCGTCGCTGTCGCCGTGGTCGTCCTTCCTCCCTCGTTGTCTTCGTCGGCGTCTCGTCGTTGTCCCTCCTATTTCGTCGCCGTCGTCGTCGTCGTCGTCGTCGTCGTGGTCTTCACTCCTCCCTCGTCGTTATCCTCCTCCCTCGTCGTCGTCGTCCGTCGTCGGCGTCTCGTCGTCGTCCCTCCTATTTCGTCGCCGTCGTCGTCGTCTTCGTCGTCGTTGTCATCGTCGTCGTCTTCCCTCCTCCCTCGTCGTTGTCGTCGTCGGCGTCGCCGTCCTTCCTCCTTCTTCGTCGTTGGCGTCGTCGCCGTCTTCCCTCCTCCATCGTCGTTGTCGTCGTTGTCGCCGTCGTCGTTTTTTCTCCTCCCTCGTCGTCGTCTCCGTTGGCGACGTCGTCGTCGTCTTCGTCGTCGTCGTCGGCGTCGTTGTCGTCGTCGTCGTCGGTGTCGTCGTCGTCGTCGTCGTCGTCGTTGTCGTCGTCGAATACATTGGAGACGTCGTCGGTGTCGTCGCAGTCGGTGTCGGCGGCGCCGTCGTCGTCGATGTCGCTGTCGTCGTCGGCGTCGGTGTCGTGGCCAACTGCCAAGTGGTACCTACCGTCACGGTCTTGTCTGAAGAGGTCTTGCGACCAACTTGCGGGTGGGAGGGTGGGATGTTTGCACGAGCAGTGGAGACGACAGCTTCAGGACGGTCAAGATTAAGTGCACCACATAGATTGCACCACGTAGATTGCACCACCTATATTGCACTACGTATGTTGCACAACGTAGAGTGCACCACATAGATTGCACTACGTATGTTGCACAACGTAGTGCACCACATGGATTGCACCACTATTGCACATCGTGGGTGCAAGGAATAGATTGCACCACGCGCGTTGCACCACAACACATTGCACTACGCATATTGCACGTAGAGTGCACCACATAGTGCCCCACGTGGATTGCACCACGTAGACTGCACCACATAGTATGCCACAACACACTATGTGTGGCCCAAGCTGGCTAGCATCAGTATACGAATAATCCCACCAGCCCTCTGGGCGTAGGTGGTCTAACGGATTTTTTCCATTCCCGAACCATCTTCCCCTCGGGGAAGGATACCCCCCGACCTCTCCCTAAAGTTTTCTTGTGGGGGTCGCGAGGTATCAGAGGGTCCTCTTCCGCCCAAGGTGGTTCCGAGCGGGCGCCCGATGCTCCAAAACGGCCTCCAAGACGGCTCAAGGCAGCCGATGATGGTTCAAGATAGCTTCCGGCATACCTCCAAGAGGCGCGATGGCAGCCACAAGACAATTTCAAGTGCTCTCGGAGCGCCCTCAGGACCCCCCAAGACGCCAACATCCTTCAAATACCTAAGGCAAATCGACAAATGTTGCCTTCACGCCTTTTGGCTTCCGATGCGCTTTCGAAGCCTCAAGATGGGCCCAAGATGGCCGAAAAGAACCCCAAGAGGCCCCCAAGACGCATCTAAGAGCGTCCAAGATCGCCCTAAGAGAGCCTCAAGAGGAGACATTGACTGCCCCACGATGGGCCGGGGAAATCGGGGACCCC